AAAGCATTCGCAATGTATTTGGGAGCTTAATGGCTTTTAGAAGATATCGATGCTTTTAGAGCTTTTAGAGCATCACAAGACATCTTTCCCCAACCTATAAGGCTCTTCCGCGAAGTATAAAGAAGACAACCTCTATCAAGAGCACATCTGCACTAAACAGTATGGGCTGGATCAGCTACATTGTGGAAAAAAATTGGGAAGAAGCTCAAAGTAAACAATGCTATAGTTGCCTGTTGCAGTACAACTGCCAAATTACTGATGCACTATTCTTTGTGATGTTTACCACTATAAAGCAAATTTTGAAATTGGATTGCTTATTCAATGTTACATGAAAATTTCCTTTAAAAAACCACTATCCTATTAGCTGATGAGTAACATATATATGTCTGCTTCACCTAGGGAAAAGCATTTAGAATACAAAAATGATGCTGACACACACACACACACAAAAAACCCAAACACCAAAGGGAGTTCTTAAGAAGAAGAAACACACAGTGTCTTAATGTCTGTCACAACCAGGGAAGGTCGGTGTGTGTAAGCCAGGCTTCCATAACTGGGGACATGTGGGGACAGTTGGTCAAGCAAGAGTGCACATCACAATTTTTATCTGGCATCTTCAAAACACAGTCTATGCCTACGTAGTATCAAACAAGAATTCAAGCCAGGACATCGGTGAAAGATTTTCTCCTCTTTTTTTTCTGAGAAAAGACACTTTTGTTTTTCATCGCAGTTCAAATGTAATGACGAATGACCTCACTGTTCAGTTGTCAGACAGTACTTGAAAATGTCATTTGCTTTTTAGCCTGTATGAAGTCCCTGCTAATGCCAACTCCTAGGTTAGTGGTAGTCTGTGTGAACTGACAGCAGTGAGGTATAAAAGCGATCTGTTGTACATGCATTCACAGAGACCAAAATGCCAGAGTTATTTGCCATTACTGAATTTTACAATATTCATGGCAAAGAAATTGTGAATTATACAGGAATCCATTTTCAGGCACTTTTTCACTGACTTTCAGAAACTCTGCTTGCATAAATACTGTTGAATCAAGCCTAAGCTGCATGCAACTTTTGCATCAGGCTGAGAGATGTAGGCAAAGCAGCTACAATCACAGCTCTCTAGCAGCATGGGGAGCCCCTGTGAAAACTGGCTCCAGAATATCTGAGAGGTCTCAAAGTTTCCATTTTATAGAAATAAAATCCATCCAAACCATACATCTGAATTTTGCAGTTTAATCCTACCACCGTTCCTCACGTGCATGATCCTTTCTTAAAAGAGAAAATATGTTTTCAGTGTTGGTATCTACTCCTCTGCCAACAGAACAAAATCTCCACTAGAAACATGATCTTATTCTGTATGAGTCTCCCTCGCCTCTCTTTGCCAACCCCCTTATCTCTATACGTTAGAGATGTATATCGTGTTATCTGTAAGAAGCATATTGCTCAGTATCTGCAGGATTTCATATCCTTAAGGTGGAGACCATCAGCCTGATTTTAATCACATTTATATTGGATACAAAACCAAAATCAAGACTCCTGTCTTTGGTTTCTTGTGAAGCAACATGCACGTAATTTAGAAGAAAATAATTACTTGGTAAGCCCCTTCAATTAATACCAAGGACTAATTATTTCTATAAGTTTGCAGGATCAGACCCATTTTAGTGTTTTATAATATTTTACAGGTTTTTTGTTATTTTAAATATAAAACCTATGACTACACTGTGATGGTATAGATGATCATTAACATGAATATACACATTGCTAATCTATAGAAATATTACCACATGCATAAACATATTTGCTTATGGATATTAATGAACTAAGAGTCAGCTTTACTTTAGGCACAAGGCCTTTTACTGGTGTAAATGCAGTGCCACAGTTGGACTAATAGTCACCTGCTATGAATTGCCAGATTTGGATTGTCCAAATTGAGGTGGAACAATATCTTCTTAGGTAGGCAACCCAGTATTTGAAATTGCAGGAGGAGAAAAAGTTTATATAACACTGTAGTACATCTGTCTTATTTGGAACATACTGTTAGATCTTGCATAAGCTTGAAAAAAATGTATGCTTTTCTGGTGAAAATGGACTTTCTGAAGTTTTTGCTCTAGACTGTTGGGGGAAAAATTGAAAAAGAATACTTGTAAGTGTTATGTATCATATAATCTCTGTGAAACACAGCATATTTATTTATCAATGGGATAACATTCTCTTTAATTCCAAAGTGAAATGGCATTTGGTAATGAAGTGATTGTCATTTTAAAACTCCTTTGGTTTTTGAGGTGCTATTGTGTGTATATAATATTTTTTTTCCCTTTTAAAGTGTAATGCCTTTACTATGTCAAATTCAGATGAATCATGACAAACAACATTTTCACAATGGGAAATGTTAACATGCTAATTCCTTTCTTTGGAAAAATAAAAGAAATGATCACAGAAAACACATTTTAATTTAATTATATCCTTTAGGTCATTAAAGTGATGTAATGTGCATGTCAGTCCTCTTTTCATCCACAGATTACTTTAATCCTTCATGTGCATTTTTTTTTTTCTTCTGGCTTTCTTTCATATTTGCTTTGTTTTGAAATTGCATGCTGTCTGGATTATTTGTGCATGACCTCCACATTAATTTCACATTCAATGTTTACATACTCTGAGAGATTTTCATGGATCATTTATTCTACATGTGCATTTTTTTCCTTTGTTTTCAGTTACTGAACTTTAAATATGCTTGAAATGTAAAAGTGGCATGAAACTTTCGTGACACAAGTAGACAACTATTTTAATAGAGATTTTCAGCACCTAACTTCACATCTTTCAGAAATGCGTATTCTAAATCACATTTTATGCTCTGCTTCCAAAATGTAAGAAAATTAATTATGTTCTGAAATTCTAAATCTATTCAATTTCAGAATTGGAGCCACATACAGGTTACATTTCATTCCAGCAATGATGAACACATGAGATGACTGGTCCTTTATGTGACTTGAGAAGGTCTCTGCTCTCTTGCAGGTGATCACTTGCAAAGTCCTGTGTCTGGGCATTGCATATGTTCAGTATATGATACCGTGTGGGACATGGTCTGATGGACAACACAGATCACTTCATATAAGCATTCCTTCTGGAAATGACAGCTTCTCTCAATTGACTATACAGGGACCCTAATTCCTCATGTAGTATCTGAAATAGATGTCCCAAGCAGGCATATCCTGCTTTTACATAGTACAGCGCTATGAGCCCTTGCAACTCTCTATAAAGTTGAAGGTCTTATCAAGTAAGAAAAACAATTTCTTCCATATTAATTCTCCATTTGAAGAATTAAAGCAATATATGGTGCTCAACATGCAATGAAATCTGCTTATCAGCAGAATTCTGTCTCTAAATCATATAAAACTAAAAGCATATCCAGAGGAATCTAATGAGTAAATGTACATGTATAAAATAAAACAAGTATTTTTTTCTAAATTATGCAGAAAAAAAAGCATTAAAGCACACTTAAGAAGTTTCCAATTAAGAGGCCAAATAAAACACCATGAAATCAGCAACAGTTCCCAGAAAAAAATATTTTAATTGGTGTAGGGCTGCATTCACGAACCTACTACAAGCGAGTCAAAGGCTTCTGCTTCCCTCTTTACAGCCTATTCTTTTTCAGCCAGTGAATTAATTCTGTGCACAGTCTGCTATGATTAGAGATGAGTGGCTTGATCTCAAAGCATGCTGAGCCATCTGTAGCCCTTCATCTGAAGAAGACAAACATGATAGTTTCCAAATACGGAGCTGAAGGTTGTGATTTGAGACCTCTGTAATCAAATCGATCCAGTCTCCAGGGGCTTTGCCTTCAACCTGCAGACCTCACCGCAATCACCTCTGATTCTTTGCAGCCGCTTGGTTTGGACTGATTTGAGTCACTACAGTTCTCTCCACTTTTACAAACTAGTTGTTTTGTCAGCATGAGTGTGACAACAATTAGACGTCCCTGTTTTTGCCCCATGCCTTTTCTCCTTCACAGTCATTCAATGACAAGCGTAAAAAGAACTTCATCTTTTCACGAAAATTCCCATTCTACAAGAGCAAGGAGCAGAGTGAGCAGGAAACAAGTGATCCAGAACGTAAGTAACCTCTTGGAGACGATGCCACATGCAGCAGCACAAAAAAATGGGTGACACGCATGATACCAGTATCCCACACATCTAGGCAAATATCTGTCGTAGGCAGGCAGGAGAGGTATTACTACTGTGACCAATGTGTGACTGCAGTTTGGATCCAGCTGGTCCTTCCTTCCCTGGAAACATCCTTTTCAGAAGAATAAAACAGTGACCTTAGCTTTTGGAAGAGCAAATGTGGCTCCTTGAAGTTTTTGTGGCACCTGTCATAAATCCAAACTTCTCCCTGATTAAATAGTCCCAGATCAGAAGTGGCTCAAAGTAATGCAAATGTGATTTCTCTCACAATACTAAACTATTACTTTTTAAAAGGTCTGGTCTAATCTCTTTTTTGCCTTTGACATTCTCCAAGTTGATTGCCATGGGCAGCTTCACTGAAAGTTTAACAATTAAATGAAGCATTCGTGCTAACAGCTTAAAGAAGCAAATCAGATCTTGGAATGTGTACCTCCCCGAGCATTTACTGCTTGCTTAAATTGTATAGAGAACCAGAATTATTAAAAATATATGCTGGATCCAAGTCCAAATATTCATTTTTTTCCTTAATAATTCTCTCCTAAATTTATCTGGTGAAGATCATTTCTGGGACTTTATTTATCTGGTTGTTCCTTCTTCCTCACAGCTCCAAAAGCCATGTATCGTGGTCACTGCTTCTTTCATTGGCTGCATTCCCATAGAATATGGGTTTAAAGTTGTTTCAGAAAGAAAAAGCAGGGATCCAGATTGCTCAATCAACATGGTCAGTCATGGTAGTATCCATTTCAACTCCACTGACTTCTTCCTTCCTCTTCTGCGGCTGTTCTTCCTTTCTCATTGCTCTCTCTGGGGACTTCCGTGCAGGACATCCCCGGATTAGGTGACGACGGTTATGGAACAAAGACTCTGAGTAAGTTCCCAGGAATGGTCACTGTAAATCTTTTTTTGTTTTGTTTTGTTTTGGCTTCTGTTCCTTCTCTGAGGACCCTCCACTCCTAGCATGCACAAGATAGAGTTTTATTTGTTACCCAGCTGTGAATGCGTTAAAAATGTTTCAATCGTTTTGTTCTGCATGACGATATTAAATAACATACAGTGTATCAAGCAGACACTTTCACTTCTTTTGTAATAACACCTTTTGTTTCCGACAGTATGTTATTGTTCCCATCATGGCAGTTCTGTAGAGAAGCATTCCTAGAACTCGTTTTGCTGCCCAGACTGTTCTTTTTCAGCAGCAATCCCTCCCTCTCCATCTAAAGGGAAAGTTAAACATTTTAACTTGATCACATCCTGAGGAGATCAATAGAAAATTATTTTATGCTGTTGCTTCTGCATTTTCAGCTTTTTGCATGGGAGTGTTTGTTACTTTGCTGGATTTTAGATTAGTATTTGTTATTCATGGAAGAAGTCATTTGCAGGCTAGAGAAGACCATGCCTTCTCCAAAGTTAATTTTGGATCCATTTCACCATTAGCAACCTATGCTCTGTCATACAACCTTAATCAATTTCTTTTTCTGATGCAGCAATCCTGTCTCAAGACTTGGCATTGCAGAATGTGTAACGTGTCAGATAATTGTTCAGAAACAATTTCGCTTCCTCGAAAGTTAGACCAGGAAAATTGTATAGAGTGAAATATTTGCAGCTGATTTCTATATAAATAGCCACATTATATTCTGTATTCAGAGCTAAATAATTTTAAACAAAATGCCACTTGCATGTGTTTGGCTGCTTCTTCCTCAGTTCTTATTCTTTTTCTTAAGCACCAAGTAATTGGAGCAAAATGTGTGTGAATGCTAACGCTGCATCGCCTACTGTTTTGTATTGAATGCACATCCCTGCACACAATTTTAGAGATTATTCTGTTTCTGACTGATTTCTTGAAGGGACATTTTAATGGTTTAACTTTAAGCCATACAGTAGCTCGCAATTTAAAGATGAAAGCTTCATCTCTTGTAAGAACAGTTCTGCAAGACTAGTTTTGTCAGTCGTAGATAGCAAATGTTGCTGCCACCTGAATTTTAACTATTCTGCTACTTAAAGTGTCATAGCAGCTTATTAGCAACAAATACTGATTCTTCCCTGCATAGAGAGAGGTAGAATACTTCTGATCTCATAACCCTTCTGAATATCTGTGTCTTTACAAAGACAAATCTCTGTAACATCCAACCATTTGAAAGGAGATAACTGAATTCTACAAATTGCTAAGGGAAATGTAGCACAAAGGTATTATATAGGCTCTAGTTTCTCTATTAATATTGCACCTAGCTTTCAATTACCATCACACCCCTAGACATTCCCACCCATCCAAATTTCACTAATATTCAACTCAGATATGCTTTTTAATGACAGTTCCTACTATGATGGATATTTTTTCCTGTTTAATAAAGTTCTTCAGTGTCCTGTATAGTGTATTAGTTTCAGACAACCCTTGTTGACTTGCTATGAAATGTCCAAAAGTCAATATACTGTTTTCTTCAAAATGTAAGTTTATTTTTTTAAAGCTTCTTACTAAGCCCAAGATCAAAGTTTTCCATTACTGTTTTCATCAGATATCATCCCCCCTCATTTCTGCTGCTCCAGTAACCCCATCAGTCCCAGTCTATGAACCCTAAGCCATCAGATTGATATGTGGGGCAAACACAGCACCTTGCAGAGAAAAGGTGGTCTTGGTACAGTTCCCATAGTCATCCTTCACGACATCCATGTATGGTCTACTCTGGGTTCATCCCAGGGGATTCTTGGCTTTTATGAGTTCCTTCTGTCACTGGGAACGTTTAGAGGCAGTTGCAGGTGAGTGTGACCCACAGCCTAATCTGCCCACTGGTTTAATGACAAATATTGGACCAATTTTGGCTCCTGGTGTTTGTCAGGAGGTGATTTATTTGTACCCATTGTCCATTTAACCATCGTGTCTTTCTCGTTAACCCAGGGTACCTCCCCACTGTATAGACATTATACCATTGGCGTCTAAATGTCCTGGGCCAGCTGAAAAGTTTCAACTGTCAAATGATCTTTCAGGTGCAAAGTAATCAGCATTTCTTCTTAAAACCACTGTTTAATGTGGTTCTGCAGACCTCTTGGCAACAATATAGCATGGTCTGACCATAGTCTGCTGACTACAGTTTAGGAACAGCAAATATAGAGATTCACAAAATATAGATTGCAGCTTCCTTTAAATAACATGATAATAGAAACAGGACACCAGACTTGCCAAACCACAAATCTGACCCATCATCATAGTGCTTACATTCCTATTCACCCATCCAGACTGGTCTGGTAAAGGTTTTCGTACTATAATTCAAATCCTGAGGCTAGACAATGTCTGAAAAAAGATTTCTTCCATTATTTTTTTTTTAAGTTTTGTCATTGGTTTTGTCTTCTTTTTTTTGGACAGGGTAAAATAGATACAGTTACAATATTTGATATCAAAACCATTTTCATGTTAATTTTTTAACCCTTTGGGATAGTGCACAGTGATTAAAGATGGACACAGGTTAGAAGTTTAGCAGGAATAGTTCCCATGCACTAATGATGCATGTTACTGGTAGTGCAGAATAATATGAGCAGCCACTCAGGTTTCATGAAATTACTCAAGACATCCAGTGAGATGCAAGTGGACCACAGTATACTTTGAAATTAAGTTATCTGAGATGTCATTAACTGTCTCATCAAGAAAAGACACGGCTTTGCCATGATGCATGTTATATTGTCTCTTTCTGAAATGCCACAAGAGAGAAAGCTTTCATTTTACCTGTGTAAATTATCTGAGAGTTTTCAGGTGATGCCACTGCATAGTTTTTATTTCCTCTCCGCACAACTACCTTTGCATGACTGTGGCAGTTCTTTTAAGTTTCTGCAGCTCTGTGGTGCTTGGTTATGTTCTTTAATTTGCTGTACTGTTCTTGCAGAACATGTTTCTTCTAATGCCAGCGATAGTGAAAGTAGCTACAGTAAGTTACTGCTTTCATTAGAGTCCTTTTACTTTGCATTGCTTGTTCTGTTTGTTTCTTTTATTTTGTTTCTCTCCTTGCTACTCTTTGGTTAATGTTAAAAAGACGGTTGGAGCAAATGGCTTGGAATTCAAATTTACGATCACACCTTGAGTGCAAAGCTGTAAAAGAAAACTGGCAACCCTTATAAGAGAAGGGAGGCAGGTTGTTATTGGGGATGTATTCTGGGACATAAAACCAAATCTGGCTTTGTGTAGCCTGTGAAAGTCAGGATTATTTGGCTTAGTGACAAAAAGTTTATTTCAGCAGGGAGGGGGCAGGTTCCTGATGATCTTTTAAGAGTAGAATTACTCCATAGCTGTAGTCAAATCTGCAAAAGGCATCCTCTTTACGAGGTCACAATTTTTACTTGCATTTCTGCATGCCTGTATGAAGGGCTAAAAAATAGTCCCCAAAATTTTGTTGAGCCCCTACTTTTGGCAATACAGGTTTCTTGATGCATATTGAAGTCTTCAAATTAAGGTAAGATAGACCTTCACCCCTTAGGCACTGCCACTGAGTGTCACTGATTCCCTGTAAGTGGAGGTCCCAACCCTGCAACCTGATTTGGGTGGAATTACAAACTCCATGTGGTCATATAGCCAAGAGGCAGATTGTGTAATTATTAGTAATACTCAAAAATTGAACCAATATAACTATTTTTCTGGAAGCGTTGAAAAGCAAAAAAAATAAAGCATTAAATAAATGACAGGAAATGTAATAAAAGGTAATTAAAATTATAAATTGCTTACTAAATCACCCAGTTGTTTGATTTTTTCAAGCCATTTGCTTAGCAAATCAACTTTTCCACCAGTCACTCAGCACTTGTGCTAAGCACCCACATACATTCAGGTAATCATTGGTATCATACCTCATATTTACTAGTCTTGATATAGTGCATAGCAGTTGAGCTCTGTTAATAAACACTGGTTTGTTTCAGTAAAACAGCTAATCTTATGCAATTCAGAAATGGTAAATTAGTTTGTATTCTCTTGTATTACAAAGGTTTCCTTGGAAAGCAATTGCCAGAGTCACAAGAAAACAATGGGTGCTCTTGAACTGCCAAGATCCAATTCTGAATGCTTTATTTTTAATGTGTACTCTACTGAGGAGCAGAGGAGGATTTCACGTTTGAAAGATAAGATGCTCCTTCCCAGACTGACTTTACAATCAGCAATGAGTCTATAGGTTAAATTTTTTAAAAGTTTGCATGAGTCAAATCTCCTCCAGGTGTGTTTATTTCAGGGTGAGCTCAGGGTAAAAGCCCAGAGGAGAATCTAGGCTGGTGGCTGAGCACATCCCATGCCTGATGTACTGTCCCAAACAGAAGACTTAACAGGGGTGCCCAGTTCCAGCCAAACATTTGGAGCAGATCCACAATAGCTATTTCCTAAACTTCATCATAAGACAGGCCAGGTAGCCAGTTCCTCACTGGCTGTGAAATAGCTTGAAACAAAGTGTATATTTTGAGGTGCGAGAAAGGCGACAGAAATGGTTTGGGGAAGTTAGTTGGGACATAGATACTTAGAAGGAAGAGTAGTGTTGGGGTAACAACTGCCCATGCCAGGCACGCTCCTTCTAGAGTGGTTTCCACCTGTGCAAGCTCCTGTCTCACCCCAGCAGCATCCAGCCTACATGCTGTTGGCTGGAGCTCCCCACACACTCCTGGTATGTCCATCAGCTGCTGCCTGGTGGAGAAGATGCAGGCAGGGCTTCCTTCTCTGCCCCTGGGAGAGCTATGCTGTTTTGCAGCAGAGGAAGCCAATCTTAGGTTATGCCAAATGAAAGTGGCTTTAAAATCCAGGACCTAGTGCCCCAAGGGCCTAATTTCACTTGCTAAAGATTCATTGGTGTGTGCTGACATGACATTTGAAGGCATGACCTTGGGCAACTAGCAGCTTTGGTTGCCAGCTGGAAATTA